GGGGGGGGACAAGGGTAGGCATATGCACTCTCTACTTTCAGCAATACAGTTATTTTTGAAAGAAAAGAAACAAATTGTACATGGCTTTATTTGAAGACCTACTTTTTAGATCAGATTTATTAAGAAAAATATATCAATATTGTATTTATGCAAAGTTAAATATTTTGCAACTTCCCAAAATAGATATCTGAATGGTACCTACCCAATTTTTATATCCGTATTTTGCTCTTTTCGAGAGAGTTGGGCTAGTATTTGGCATTAGAGAAAAATCATATCACGTGACAACTAAGCCTATTTGTATTTTGCCACATTTTACATTTAAATAGCTATCATTGGAGAATAGATTTTATTACAAAACTAGTGGTGCCCAACAGCACATACTTTCTCGCATTACTTATAACTGCTCCGCTATTACACTACGACATGCAAAAGTGTTTTCAGCCAGCAAAAATTATTTTCCGCAGATACTCGGATTAAGACCTTCCAAATTAACTAGTCAGCCATACCACTACGCTAGAAGGGTTGTGTAGTTCGAACTGGGGCAGACGTTCAGAAAAGTGATTATCTCTACCCAATATTTCCAACAGGCACTTTTAACAGTTTTCGAAAATAGAGTCCGTCGAAATTGGGACTAACACATTTTTTATCGACCGTTGTCACATATGATGAGAAAATTTAATGAAAAAATGAGTGCGGTTTTTGGAAAAATATTTTTGTTTAGAAATTACATAAATTTCACACAAATTATTCGAAATATACTCATCTAATATATCTTCTTTCAAAAAAATTGAACATGACCTTTTTTGAAAGAGCTGATTTTTTATAACAGACTTTGTCCCCAATGCACACATTTCTATCTTCAATTTTGTAGTTTTGCAATGTTAAATTTTTTAAATTTTCGAAAAATCGGAGTTCACCGAAAAAGGGAAAAGCACATTTTTTACCGTCCCTTGATACGTATGAGGAAAAACTTAAAACAATTGGAGTGTTTTTTTAAAAAAAGTTTTAAAAAATTAAAATTTCCTATGCTTCACGCAAATTTACACAAAAATAAACTCGTATTTTCGAAAAATTGAACATGTTCTTTAAATAAAGATCTGGAGGTAAGGTCAACTTTCACTATGGAACGTTGCAGGAAGACAACCAAAAAAAACTGCACTTTTGCAATTTTCGAAAGATCAGGAAGCCTTGCACTATTCTCTTAGAGCCATGTACGCCATCTGAGGTCTAAGTTTAATCAAAAATGTTGGGTATTTTTGAGAAAATTTTGAACGTGACTGAGGCTTCATGTAAAGTATGCTCAAAAATCAAATATCCGTTTGAATCTCCCAAAGCTTCGAATTCATTCAGATGGGTTGAGGTCGATTCTGGAGAAAATTGGCTGAAGAGTGTGAGTGTGTGTATCCAACTTGCAAGGTCCCAAGGGCCACAACTAAAAGCAATAATATGGTTGCGGGCCTTGTTTTCATTACTCGGACGATCGACACCTGGCTTCCCTGTATTGCTGATCTCACAGCACTTTGCCTGCTCTGAAACGGGGGTAGGGAATGGAACCATGCGTGGTATCAGGCCGTGGCATGCATGACACTGAAGCACATTCGGATAATTTTGAATTTCTGAATTTACTACAAAACAAAAACTTAAATCAACCTATTGTACATTAAGGGGCTGTTGATCGCGATAGATGTAGGCAAAATATTCTTGCACCACAAGGACGTAAGGAACTTTCACTTTTGACCAATAATTCTTCACAGGTTACAAGTTCTGGTACCGTGGGCTGCCAGTTCGATAACCCTAGTTTAGACACTGACCACACACGTTTAGCTATCAATTGATTTTTCTGCAACAAGAACCCATTAAACATAAATTCGGATTTATCACGTGATAGAGGAAGTAATTTACTGGGTATAGCAATGGGATTCATCATCCACTTTTTTGGTTCCAGGGCCAGGGTTTTTTTTTTTATTTATTTATTTATTCTTATTATGACAATTTGCTGTTATCTGAAGAACGATTACAAAACTTTCTCTTCTTATGAAGTGCGAGAACGTAAAAGTTCAATCTTCAATATTGTTGTTGTATGAAGAAGCCGAGCAAGTTTGAACTTTTGCAATATTCGATAATTAACATTGGAAACTCGACCTGCAATTTTTCTAAAGAGTTCTTTGCTGTATCCCATGATAAAATTTAATTTATAGGGGGCCATTTTGTGAGCAAAAATTGAAAATGTCGTTGAGACTTGTACAGTAACCCCTAAAATCAAAACATTCATTTCAAATTCGTGACATCCAGAATGATCGGGGAACATAATTTTGGTGAAATGCTGCTTATGGTTTAGCCGTTAGCACTGTTCATAGACAGACAGTAGTTTTGCTGTAAGCAAACTTTTCGGTATATAACAAAAAAAAAAACAATAACAACAACAACATGGATCCTGACTACACAAGTTGTTATAACACAGAGTAAAGAATTTGCACTCTTTCAATATCACGTATCCACGAAACAAATTGGCGAAAAATTGCCCTTTTTTTGCAGCATCATTATAACTGTTTCACTATACTACGTAAGAAGAAACTAGTGGTGCTACAGAATGCCACAGACCTCGCACTAGTTTTCTATTGTCTTTAGTTCACATAAGCCACGAACTACCTAGCCAACACTAGCAACATTCAATATTCTTTCACTACTTCATCAATCTGTGCAATGTACAATGCCTCAACAATGTGAGGTCATATACCAGTGACAATTTTATTTCATTTGATCATACATGTATAGTACATTATTGAGATACTCAAACTACACTCACTGTAATGTCCCTTGTAAACAACTCGATAGTAAATGGAGATGACTTCCACTTACTTAATATCAATTAAACAACATTGTTTCAGCAGCAAATAATCTTATTTTACACATTAAATTTAACATTATATTATGAATTAAATATGAGGTTTATATTATAAATTATTAGAAGGTATAATGAATTAAATTTTTACCTTTTCAGAGTACACACCATCAGTTGTGCAATTTACATGTTGTTTAGGCCTACATGTGACATTTATTTTGGATCCATAAACACAAGTTTTGTTGAATGAACAATTTAGGCAGGCACCTCCCAATTTTGAACACTCCACGCCAGTAGGACAGTCTTTCTGTAAAATTCAGTAACATTACAGTGTTATTATAAATTTTAACTTCATTGAAAGCTACAACACTTATGAAGTACTTAAATGTTCTTTGAGTTAAAAAGTTAAAGACAATTAAGACTATATTAAACTGGAGAAATACATTTTTTTTAGTTTCCCTTATATCATTAATTTTTTCCATGTATTCAGAACTCTGCTTAGATGTGTCATTAGGGGGCGGATTTTGATGACCTAAAACATCGCCAAAATAATCTATAAAATGCTCTTAAAATGCTTAAAAAAATGCCCTGAAAACAAAGAAAAATGACAGAAAAAAAATTAACAAAACCACTTCTGAAGATGAACTCAAATTGTTGGATACGTTACTGATGTAATCGAGGCTTCCTCCGTTGGTTCGAGTGAACTCGGCCTGCAGACTTTTGGTTTGCACTTATCTTAAAAAGAAAATCTATTGCATTAATCGGGAAATCGGCCAAAATGACAATGGCGCCGACAGGCGTTACCGGAACCTTAGATTTCATAATACTCACAACGAATGACATTACAATACATGAACGAAGAAATCGAATAGGCTAGTCGAGAATTTCAGTGAACATTTGTTGCGCCTCGTAAATAATGTTAGAAGCAAGTATAATTAGGATTATATTAAAACAGACGAAATGTGCGAAAAATGCAACAAAAAGAACCTATAAAAGTGGGTCATTTCGTTGTCATAACATAAAATGAATTTCTATACTAAACGGCACTTCTAAAATGAAAAAAAAGATGACATTTCATTAAAAACCGCCCCCTTAGTCATCATAAATCAAGTATTCCTAATGTGAAGAAACACTATAGAAGAATCGATTGAAAATTAATTGAAACAGCTATAAATTTTAAAAACAATCTTAGCTGCAATTACAGAATAAAATTTAACATTTTATGAGTTTTGTGTTTAAAAGAAAAGTTTTAAGAGTGTGTGATATACAATAACAGTCTGATACAGTGAGTATGGATTCCGCGAGCAGAACTAATAAGGTATTTAGTCCCGTAAGTTTAGTACATGTTATAACTCGGGCTGTGGGCGGTATTTCTCCTCTGTTGGGGCCTCAGATCCAGCGCCGACCTATACGTCGCCTTACGGATTTTCTCTCCTCCAGGTATGTCCCAGCAGGACCCCCCCCCTCCGCTGACTGCTCGTGACTATGAGTGCTGAATTGCTCGCGTGTGTGTACGCGGTTCCTTTGTGAGGGTACTGCTCCAATATTCGTCCGGCATTGACCGGGAAAACCACAGAAAATCACAGATCGGAGCAGCCGATAATTACAATTTTCTTCCAGATGGTGGATGAATTCGACCTTGGCTATATAGTTAGTCGAAAAAGCCCACGGGACTCGAACTCGAGGACCTCTCGATCAACGATTGTTGAGGCTGCGAAATATTCGTGAGGTACATTAGGAGAGCAATTGATAGGAATTGCGAGGACATCGATAATTTTTCATCAGAGACGAGTGTTCTGGAAAAGAAACGACACACAATTGACAAAGATTGTTACTTTGGAAAAAGAATCATTGAAGAGAGTATCATGGTTACATCTGTCCAGACGAAATCAAATATTTTAGTTATGAATTTGGTCGTTTTTTATTGTATGTTAAACTGCAGAAAAGTTGCCTGACAAACCCCAATCCCTGAATCGAACCTTGAATGCGTCCAAACGTTGCGTCTAAAATGGAAATAGCTGGATTCTAAGAATTTTGACAATGTCCACATCAGTCTACATGTTTTCGCAAGAGGAGCTGCCCAGGAGCTGATGCGATCTTTCGGTGAAACGAACTACCAGGAAGCAGTTGACAATCTACGTCAAAAAACTTGGTACGAAAGAAGTGAGTATTTGGTCTCCTAGGCGGGAAGTTTGGAATGTACGATCCTTTCCTTTGAAATGCATTCAAGGAGTAGCACAACTGCATTATTCGAAACGTGGCGCCGAATTTGAATCAATTTGGCGGTCAATGTGCCATCAACGATATTGCTGAGACAATGGTATGGCCTGCGAGCATTCGTGGCCTCTGTACAATATGCCAAGGTTCCAAATTTAATTTTCATACCTTTTTCTGATACTCAACTCCAGAACTTAAAAGTCAATTGAAACAAATTCGATTGCACAATGAATTTCAAAAATGGTGTTTAAGGTTCCTTAAACGCTTAACTTTGCCACACGTCACGGTCTATGAGTGCTGTACCAAAGGTGCAGGCGGCGAGGAATTACGAGTATTTGCAGTCGCGTCCCCAACACTAGAAGAATGGATGGATGAGTCAAAGTTGATCAGTTAGGAAGCTTTTGAACTCGAACTTGCTAAACACCTCAGGGTAAGATCTATTTCAGGCGGGGATCATTACGATATTATAATTTTTCAGTGTACTTTACCTGATGCTCCTATGACTTTTCAAAATGATCTGAAAATAATGATGCTATAACAGCAGATACTTCCACACACAAATTCTTTGATCGCGGTGAATAATCTGATAAGTCGACACTTTGCTGGAAAGGAGATAATATACGTGGTTCTTGTAAACCTCTCTTTATTAATTTAGGTATTTTACCATTACCTTGTCTCTCATGATATGAATAAGTGGTTTTGTAAAAAATGACTACTTAAGGGCGAAATAAATATTTTCAGAATACATATCCATACAGGTACACTACCAACAGTTCACTACGCGAAAAATCACAATATACATGCCGGCATGTATTTACACCTTGCCAGATGACATTAAACGATTAAATTCGATACAAAAGTTTAAGTCCCAAGTAATATCTTTTCTTATGCACAACTTTTTTATACAATTAGACTCTATACCGAGCATTCAAAAGGAAAGTAATATTAACAATGACATTTAATGTATTATATAGCATTTGGATTGTATAATTCTAAAGAACCTGTAGCAAGTATTGTACTTCAGCTTCTGGGTCAATGACCCCCATCTCGATCAGGTGTCGTCCAGCTTTCCTGATCCTCCGAGCAATCTGAGCTGGACCTTGTTTGCTTCTGGACATAAATGTAAACTGCCAAATTAACTTCCCCCATAGCACTCACACAGCATTTTTAACTGTTTGACGTAAATAAATAAATAAATTATTACACAATATTTTCAGCAAGAATCGTGAAAAAAATATTAAAGTTAATGGAAACGTGTCATACTTCATCTACTGTTCTACGTTAATAACGGGATATAAATTGTATTTTCGAATTTTTGCGTGAATAACCGAATAACTCTAATTAAAAAGTAAAAATGCTTAATCATTTGAAAATATAGTCAATGAAAGATGTAAAAACTGAAGGGGTCATTGTTGAGGCTGCGAAATATTCGTTAGATACGTTGGGAGAAAATTAGCAGAAACTGCAAGGAACATTGCTATTTCTATCGATAATTTTCATCAGACACGAGTGTTCTCGAAAGAAAGACACACAATTGACAAAGATTGTTATTTTGGAGAAAGAATCAACGAATATTGAAGAGATTGTCATGGTTACCTCTCTCGACGAAATTAAACGTTTCGATACTTGTTTTTACTGCATGTTAGACTGCAGGAATGGTGCTGAGAATTGCCTAACAGCACCTCGAATCGAATTTTGAATGCGTCCAACACAGTTTACTGAGCTTTTGTGCACGGCAAACTGCTCTGCACGTCAACTCTGATGACAATGTTCACGTTTCACACGCGGCTGCTCAGAACTCTATATATTCTCTATATACTCTCTGGCTCAGAAGCTGATGCGATCTTTCGGTGACGCTCCGAACTGACAGGAAGCAGTGGACGAATTACATCAAAGACGTTTGTACGAAAGAAATGAGTATTTGGTCAACTGGGAAGAAATTGGCGAGGCTTTTTTTGAGCGGATCTCCTGAGCGGGAAGTTTGAAATGTATGATCCTTTTCTCTGAAATGCCTTCAAATAGCAGCGAAACTGCGCTGTTCGAAACGTGACGCCAAATTTGAATCAATTTGGCGGTCAAATGCCAACTGCCATATTTCAGATTTTGAAAGTGAGGGTTTATGTACCCACAAAATCAAAATAGCAAGACCTCGAGTTCGTTCAAATCGATTGGAGAATATAAATTTTACAGTTTTAGATCTGATTATCTGATTAGATACTGTTTAAGCCTAATGTCAGAAACGTAGAAAGTAAATACATTGGAAATCTCAACAAGTACTAGTGCCATTTGAAACATGACATTTAATTTCTTTTCGATGGTCATTCTCTATCACACATCAAGTTCCCATCAAGGTGAAACAAACCTATGCAAAGCTGATCTGGATGGCCGAGTTCGTTAAGGCAGCAAAGACATTGTGGTCTCGGACCGAAGGATCGAGTCCTGCTTTGGGTATGGTTGTATTTGTGTTCGTACTTTCACTCCCTATCATTACCAAATATGTCACCTTCACAGTAACCATAATGTTAAATACAATAGTGGTCGCTAATGACCTATATGTTGATGCAATCTTAAATAACACACAAAACATATGTAAAAAAATACAAACAAATCTGACAAATTGCGAGAAGTGCATAGCAAGGAAATATATTTTTAGTTAAATGTGAAAATAGTATTTTTTAAATTAAATATTTATAACATTTTTCTATTATCATTAGTATAATCATTATCACTTTATTATTATTATTATTATTATTACAACAATAATAATTGAAATTTATTTTAAACCAAACGTTTGCCCGAATATTTGCGAATTCTGTTCAACGTGTTTCTTAAACTTCAATTTCACAGGCTAGTAATGACAATAATTCTTTAAAATATATTGAAATTGTTCTATAACACTTCTATTATACACTAAATTATTGGTTTAATAATGTTTTAGTGACGTAGATAAATATTTTTTCAATATTTCCTTTAAAGAAATAACGTTGAAAGCTTCGAGTCAAAACGACTCTGTTGGGTGTTCTAGGGGGTACTGGTAAGCTGGGCATTCTAGTGTTAAGCTTCAAAGGGGTACCAGAAATTTTCTTGGTTTATAAGAAGTAGAGAAGTGAGATTTCTGTAGGTCATGGGAAACATTTACACAAATTCTTATGTGACAAAAGTTGGTTTGAAATGCAGTAAAGTATCTTTACATTAGTTTTATATACTTATTGTTATGTAATATAGTTAATTATTAATAATCAAAACTGCTTTCTAGATTTGGATTTTGTAACTTGTTTAAGACTTTATAACTATGTGGTCCTGCTTTCACAGCTCTGATAATGTAATACATATCGAAATCACTGTTGCACTATTTTTTTTTTTTTTCAATTAACTGATCAACATCCCGTTGCATTCATACTAATATTGTCAACATGTGTTTGTGAATTGCAGCACAGTTACACAACAGCAGAAAAAAAATTATTTAAAGCAAAATCTATTTTTGATTCAGTGATCAGAATACACCTCTGTGTGGACCTGTGCTATTTTGGATATATGTTAATGATATTTTCTCTAAAATGAAGATGATCCACTTTCATAAGCAATGAATCCTTTTTAAGTTATCTAGAAACTAATCTTACTGAATCAATAATACACAAAAAAGTTGTTATTGATTGCATTAAAATTAAATGTTGATGAAATTGTATTACTCAAATTTGAACTTTTAAAAACTGCCATGATCAACACAGCCACCCAATTTCCTATACTAGCATTAACCATCATAGTTAATGACTCTGATTATATACCATAGTGCACCATGTTATTTACAATCTTATATCATAATGTATTATATATGTATTTAACTATAAGCACTCACATATCCCAAGACTAGAGCAGACTCACAGTGCATACTTTGCGCCCAAATTTTTTTGGGTGGAGATGATGAATGACTAAATTCAAGCCAATTTTTATTTATATATTTTTTTGAAAACTGGCAATGGTTAATGGGAAGAATAGGTAGTCACAAGGCTCCCTAGTATGATAAACAAGCGTCTTAGCAGTATAAATGGATTATCAAACAAAACCATGATTTCAGAAATGACACACACTTAGCATACAATCAAATAATTAAGAATAAATTATTGGGACACTTTCTTTTGGGCTCTCCTAACAGTCTCTTTTGAAGTTACAAAAACTTCCTAAAATCAGTAATCAAAAGTTTGTGAAATTTAAATTAATGGGCAAAATTACCCTTTAATAACATGATAAATATACTCTATTACTTCAATCTTCATATACAGATCTCACAAGTAATTGATAAATGTAATTTCATTATAGCAGTGCTCTTTGTGTACTACTTCTAGGCCATGAATATTCAAAAAGATAGTTGAATTGATTTACAACACAACCTCACAGCAAAAGACATTCCTTTGTTCACATTCACATCCTAACATCAAAAACATTTCACATTTCAGACTACCAACAGACTTAAATTAATAAGTCATCAATTTTGATTAGCAATGTCTTAAAAGGGCCTCAAAAACACTCTTCCCTTGAATCAACAACAGAGTGTGACAGAAAGATGTTCGTTCAGTATATGTTATCTATGATGTTGGATTTTAAGAAGGTGAAAGTAGTCACATAAGGGTTTAAAGATTCATGAATCTTTGGTTGTCTCACTAGATTAAAAATAAAACCAACAGAACATAATGAGACCACATTCCTTGTTCAGTTGGGGTAGTGCTTTGATCAAACTGACTTAAAATTGGTAAAAATTAGTGAAATTAAAAAAAAAATCTGATAGATTATTTCCCAAGATATATCACTTACCAGAGCATAGTCAATAGGTCCTGGTTGAGAACTCCCTGTCAATCTATCTGAAAATATAAGATAGTTTTAAACACTAAAAATGTTTACTTAACATCAACTAAAAATTTAAATTTATTTTCCCTCACCTGATAAAACTAGATTCACACCCCAAAGAAATAGTACAAAAAAAACGAAACATGGAATCTGAACTCTCGCTGACAAGAACTTCATTGTGTAATTTTTCAGAATCAATCTTGAACTTCAAAAGCTCATGGAATTTTGATGTTCAAACTCATACCTAGAAAAACAGTAAAAAACCAAACTTTATCAAAAAATACTATCATAAAATAAATTTTATGACAACACTGTCATAAAAAATACCAATAAATAAATATGAATTACTACACTAGTAACAGCTATGCTACACTTATAAAACATTATTATCATGTAAACCTCAACATGACCTTTCTTCTGTTGAAAGAACACATGTATAATTTTCGCAATTCTTAATAGTCAATCAATGTAAACACTTGCAACTACTCACTTTATCTACATTGACTGACAAATCATTCTCTGTTAACTCTTGTTATTCTCCAACTCGAACACAATGGTCCGCTCGATAAGTTTCACAAATGCTGCTTTCGCTTCCTTTTTTCTCTACCAATTCTTCATACGTACGTCCACTAGCAAAATACGCCCCCACACAATTCGACAGCCGAACTTCTGCAGCACTGAGCCTGAGCTATTAAAATGGAAACAAATAGAAGTTCTGGTAAAGACACACTTCTCTACCACTCGCCACACCAGTCTACAGTGTGCGTGTGTTGCGTGAGTCGATGCGTACACCCCTATTCAAATGTAGTGTCTCTTTAACGTCACAAGCTTGGAGAAGACGGCGAATCAGTTATCCAATCGGAAACTTCAATATAAAAACTCACAAGAAACGAAGCTTTCGATTAGATAATGGTATCCCATCTCCTTCCAATTCGATACTTCAATTTAAACAGAGTGGCACAAGCTTAAAGAAAAGTTACGTTCTCATACAATCGGGGGCTCGAATACCAAAAATTATAAGATCTCCATTTAATGACAGTGATCCATTCTCCGTCCATCTCGTGAACTTTCTTTAAATCAGACAAAACTCTTGTCTCTGATGCATGCTCAAGATTGGAAAGTCTTATTTTCACAAGGCTTCCCTACAAGATATAATATAACATTCTAGGGACGTATATTATAACCTCCTTGGGAAGTGGGACCATGGATGAATAGCGACAGTATCGAGCAGTGATGGCGATAATTCGACATCTATTGGCACGTCCTACAAAGACATGAACATTTCACGTCCATCGTGAAGACAGGAACTCATTCGTCAAGTTATAAAATCCAAAGTACAGAAAATGATTTTAACCCGCCGCAAGCAGAAATACACTAAACGTTTTACACCACCAAAACAAATTACACTTGACACACAAAGCTGACATGGGCGCCTAAGGCAAGTGACTTAGGAGTCACATTTTACGGATGCGCAAACATTTACATGTCAGGCGAATTTGATCAAAATTACAACAAATAGTTCGACTCTTACAACCTCTCTTGAGGGAACATAAACTCCCCTTGAAACTTCGCTTGGCACTCTATAAAACGTGTTGCCGGGCTGTGGCCACTTTCGTTGCGGCAACATGGTGGACCACAGCACAGAAGTACAAGGATACACTTGGGCTAGTACAGAAAAATGTTTTACAGCTCATACCACGCCTTGGGTTTGGGAAACGTTGAAAGTACTGAGGAAGGAACTTGATGTCGAATCCTTCACTCAATGCTTGAGACAGCTTTCGTTACAGAGACTTTCAAACCAACGAAGCTCCGGCAACGCTAAAACAATTAGCCCGACACCTCCTCACTGTAGGACAAAGAAGACAAACACTCCCCTCTGATATCCTGAGGGCATAGTTCTGGCTTTGGTTTGGTTCTGGTGCTTTGATTTTTGACTAAAGACCGGCGTGAACTCACACCAACCACTTACACATAGCAGTAAAACGCGAAATACGTGCGAACTGCAACACTAACTAAAATCACACAAATCTTCGGCTAAGCCCCCCCCCCCCCAAAAAAGATTTTAACCTTTGTACCCTAACATTTTTTTTTTCTTTTCACATTTACTATTAACATGGAGTTATTCACAATCCCATATTTAATCTCCGTGACTTAAGCAACTAAAATGTTAGGAATAAATCTAAAATTTAGAAACACACGTTTGTAATCAGAAATTTAATAAAGTACATTCTTGCTTATTTTGATTTCATTTTAACTTCTATTTATAAAGATGATGTCTAAAATGTCTACACAAACAATTAAAACAAATTTAATGGCGATGTTCTGAACAAACAAGTGCTATGCAGAACTCTCTCGGAAACGTACATATATACAGCGTATATTCGTAGAAGAGAGAAAGTTATGTAATTCTGCACAAAAATACGGCGGATTCTTTTTTATAAAAAGTTCATTACCGGGCACTGATAACGAAGAGTTGAATAAATCCAGTCGCTAAATTAGGGGGGAAAAGTCCTCTAACGCATGATGTAGCAAGTATCCCTGTTTTGTGGGTCTTTGATACCGAAAAATCAATTGTCAACAATACGTCCGGCCGGCCGGCCGGCCGTCTGTGAACTAGCGCCTAAACCATTCTCAAATTGAGTTTTCCAAAATTGAAGAAACCCGTAGCTATCTATGTATCTATGTACTCTATAAGATTATATAAATGTCATATTGCTCTACTATTCCTTTGTTGTTTCAAAAATTACAAACAAAAAAAACGTGTCTCACACGTCGTTTTTTTACGTGTCTCACACGTCGGTAATATTTACATTAACGGCGATTTGTTTACATAATTTATATTTACTAGTACATGCGCTTTAAATAAAGGCCAATAAAGTTTCTCGAAAACTGAACAGTTGTCTGGGAAAATTAGTTCAAAATCCGCATATTCAGAAACGATCAAACGCCAAAGGGTTCCAAATTTTTCATAGAAAATTTCCATATTTTTGGTATAAATTGTGTTAAATATGCTCTATGATATGACATAAACGACATATTGCTTTATTTTTTTTTTCGAAAAGTACCTTTTCATTGTTTTAGTTTTCTCCCTCGTCGTTTCTCCCTCGTCGTCTATTTACAATAGCTTTGATTTGTTCACATTATTCCATTTAGCAGTTCATTTTCTTCAAATTATGTCAGATAAAGTTTCTGAAAACTTGACAGTTTTCTGTGAAAATGAACTGAAAATTATGCATTTTCGGAAACCCTCAAACGCCATTTTCTCAAAAGCGGCTCCAAAGTTGTTGTTGTTTTGTTTTTTTCTTTCAAAATTTCCGCACAGATAGTGCTAATTGCACTGTTTAAGATTATTTAAAAGTCCTTTAGCTGTTGTCCTTGTTTCTGTTAGCTATCTCAAGTTTGCGGTCTTTAATTCATTTATTACTAAAGGTATTTAGTTCTTAGTCCTTGGTTATTCCAGCATCCTAAATTCGGTATCCATTTCCATGGTCTTTTTGACGTAAAGTTCTCAATTCTGAGGCGTGTTTGGAATATTTTGCACGTTTGAATTCTGTCAAAAAAGCCGATACATGGTATATATTTTCTTAGATTAAAAATAAACCGTACGCATGCGTTCTGGGCTATTTGAAGTTTACGTTGTAATTTGAATGCCATGTTGGTCAGAAGAAAGTCGCAATAGTCTAAATGTGGCATGATACATGATTTGATGAGGGTCTCACGTGAGCTACCTGGTAAAAGTGCTCGCAGGCGTTTCAGTGAATGCATTGAGGCAAAAACTTTACGGCAGGTTGAATCTACTTGCGAGTTCCATTAGAGAGTGTTGTCGATAATTACACCTAGGTTCTTGACTTCGGAACACCAAGGTAGAATGGTGTCGTTTTTATAAACATTAGGCAAAGCAGAAGATGAGATTTTATTCATAGTGCTTTTCGAACTGATAATCATGCACAGTGTTTGGATTTAATTACAAGCCTAAACACGCTGTCCAGTTCTTTACCGTTGTGAAATTTTCGTTAATTTTTGTACGAGTGAGAAGAGGTGAGACGGGTGCATTTAATTGCATTTCCTTCGTCATTTACATAGATTAAGAAGACCAATGGCTCTAACACAGTGTCTTGAGCAACCCCGCTGGTAAGTTTCAAGTCACTTGAGCTGCGGCTACCGGACACCACTCTTTGTGTTATGGAAATTAAGTAATTAATAAACCATGTGCGCCTGGGCTGTGCAAATCCCAATATTTTTTAGTTTTGGGAGCGAAATGTTATGATCTACTGAATCGAACACTTTGCTAAAATCCAGAAGAATCAAGATAGGTATATTACTGTAATCTATTGCTGTTTTCGCGTCTTCAATAACATTTAGTAGAGCAGTTCCTTTATTCCTGTCGGAATGGAAACCTATTTGCTGCTAGTTTAAAAGCCATTTTCTAAGATGCTGTTCAGTTAGTTTCCGGGCGACCTTTTCAAGATAGTCGGGAGGATGCTAACTGGGCGGTATTCAATAGAATTTTTGGTTGATGCTGTCCTGGGAATGGGATGCGAGTGCAATCTTCCAGGATAAGGAATAATGTCTGCTCATTAGTGAAAAACTTATTATTTCGGTGATGATTGGGTAGGTCAGATCTAGACTACTTTTTAGCTGTTTGGCATTTATACTATCGGAATGAGCATTTGATTTGAGACTGAACGATTTTGATTATATTCTGATGTTCAACGGACGAAATCGTAGTTGGAATTTATTGTTGAGTTTTGGAGAAACGCAAGATATTGCTTTTTCGAGTTTCTGTCAAAAGAACGAACTTTATTTATGAAACTGTGATTTAGTTATTCTAAGGGGATATTCGTTTGAATTTGGGGAGAACCTTCGCCTATTTCAAGATTTTTCAGATTTTTCCAAATCGTTCTCGATTCGCGGTTTCTGCCGAAGGTGATGCGGAAATATTTTATTTTAGCGTTGCGACATTTCTGCGTAAGTAAATTTCTGAGCATTTTGTTGTGTTTTTTATGTAGTTTGCATTTAGGTTTACGGAAAATAGCATACCCTGCATCTCAATCTATCATTAAATTTCGAATTTAAGCAGTTGACCATGGCGAAGGAGGTCGAGTTGCGCGTGAATTTTTTAAAGGTGGTGCCGGTCATAGATCTGTGTTATTAAGTTAGTGGAAATCGCCACTTAGCGTCCAAAGATTCTTCTTCGTGTACAAGGTGCTGTGGCGTCGTTAACACGAGGGCCAGAACCGTTAGGTCGGTGAAAGTACGCTGCGGGGGAGGAAGG